TGAAGCAGGGGAAGATTGGTGTTTCCCAGCCCGGGTTGCTTGTAGATCTGCCCTGGCACAGATCATTTATCTGTAATGCCAATAAAATACATGCACAGACCAAACATTTTGCCTTTGGAAGGACTGTATTTTCCCAAATATGTGCTTGAAAATAAGTAAAGGGGCACACCCTCACTAACTTGGCCCCATCCACTCTCATCAGCAGTACACTGTGCTATACTGCAACTGCGCTTGGTCTCCTTTTCAGGAACCAAGCATAAACATTTCCAGCAAATGTTCTTAAAGATAAGTTTATTTGCCAAGTAGTGCTGCTTTTGACCTGAGTAACAATTGTGAGAAACCATTTTGTTTACATGGGGAAACTAGAGAATAGACTTTCCAATCACTTGTCACATACCAGCCACACGCTCCTTAGCCATGGTGTTTGTTGCAGGCAGAAGGAGAAATTTCTCTGGAAGCCATCACTGAAATATTTTATTCCCCTGGGCTGCACACTGCCATGTATTTTGCAGGCATCTCATAAAAATAATAGGAACATACGTTTTAAGAAGCTTTTTTTTAAAAAAAAAAAAAAAAGGAATGCCTAAGAACTGCCAGCAGCATCATTAAAAGTGACACTTTAAAGGATTGTGAGTACAACTACTGCAGCATGCTTTATCTGGAAATGTTAAAGCAAAACAGATGCTGAAGTCAGAGGGAATTTTGTCTGGAGGAAGACCATGAAGGAAAACTGAGCAGAGATTTCAGGGTTTAACTCAGCAGGCAGTTCTGAGCAGGCAAGTCTTAGGTATACCAGTTACAACAAAACATCATAGTGATGTAAGGATGTTTCTCAGCAGAATAGTGCTCTGTGAGGGACAAGAGACAGCGAGTTAACTGCTGTGTTTGCTGCTGCTAATGCAGAAAGATAACATGTCTCCCTCTGCATCACGTCACAATCTGCTTTTCATTCAGGTGTCTGCTTTAGTTTCAGCACACCGCTATTTCTATACAACTGTGGGCATGTGTCACTGGACACATGAACAAGGACACCAGTTGACCCAGTGAAAATAAGCCAAAGAAATACTGAGGCATTGATCAAGCTGTTGTACTCGAAGCAGTAAGAAATACATGGTCTTGCGTGCTTCCCTAGCAACTTCCCAGGTGTCCAAACTCCATGCCCTGCTCGTACAGCCTCTAGGATTTAAAAAAAAAAATAAAAATCACCTCCCTTGCTCTGATCTGAGGACCACCAGCTGAGAAGAACAAGAACAGTGCTGATGACAGATTTCTTCAAGATATTTGACTTGGCACTGTCATTTTATATCAGAAACTGGAACAAAACTGACAGTCACACATTTAAAGAATTAAAAGCCATGCAGGACACAGATCTTAAAGTACCAGTGGGAGACACTGCCTGCACTGCTTTATTTCTGCTGGAGAGCTTTAAACTCAGTTTATGTCCCTCTGTTACTTAATATTTTTTCTCAGTTGCATGGAAGAAGTTGCATTTGTGGGTGATCAAGGTGATGGGTAATTAATAAATGGGATATGTCACTGGCTGAAAGCAATTGGGATGGCTTGGCCTGCTGACTGCAAGTGAATGTGCTGTCTGGGGTTCCGCTCAGCTAACTTTAGACATCCACATCCGAGCAAGCCACACAGATTCCTTTTATAGGCATTGGAGAGAAATAGGCATCTGACCTACTTCAGACATCTAGAAGTGCCTATTTTTTGCACGTGGTTATAGAAGAAATCTAGAGATGTAGATTTCTCACAGTTAGGTAAGTTGAACCCATTCTATGTGTTTTAATACAGCCCAAGGCAAACTGATTGGCATTCCTAGCTAGGATGCAAGAAGGCAGGCCATATTTAAAGGAAAGGCAGTGCCTTGGGAAAAAGCCAGTCAGAAAAGAAGTTGGTCGTCCGGGGGAATAACCAGTGGAAGATGAGCTCCTGTACACTGCTGTGACAATCCTTAGACGAGTAGAGAGGCAAATGTCCACCAGGAGCAGGAAATTATGTCAAGTTCCTATCTGGCACCATGGAACCACTGCAAGAGTGCTGGGTCCAGCTCACAATTGAAGAAATTGATAATCTGGAGAGAGTTCAGAGAACTGGACTTTGAATACTTAAGGGGCTGGTAAACTTGTAAAGCCTCACAGGCTAAGTAGCTTATCAAGGAGAGGTCTGTGGGATGACTCGATGACAGGCTATAATTTTGTACTTAGTGAACACAGCTAAGTGCAGGCAAATGGAGAATGGGATCTGAAGGCAGCTGAAGGCAGCTTTGGGAAGCCAAAGTTGCAGAAATTAAGTCTAGAAATAAATTACAAATCATTTACAGTGAAAGCAATTAACCATTGGGACAACTTATGATTAAAGTCATTGGCTTTCAACCACTAGCAATTTTTAAACCAAAGCTGAATATTTTAAATGGCCTAGTTCAAATAAAATGTAATTTATATGTGCCTGAAGGGTTATGTCGTGCTGTTCATGAGAGTTAAACTGGATGACCACAACAGTCTCTTTTGGCTTCATAATATATAAATTCAAGAAAAATCTTAGGTTAAATCTACATAGACCAATGACATAACTTACAGAGATATCCAAGAAAGCACAAATTTCAGCAGTGAGCAGTAGTTTGGGAAGAGCACTGTGATCAAATCAGCAGTATAGCTTCTGATACCCAAGCTCATTCATTCAGCACAACACAATGTTGTTATCAGCCCTGATTTCCAGCTAGGATTCACTGGAAGAGTATATTTTCCAGATCTAGTAATGTACAGCAAGCAGGCCAGTCAAAAGTATAAAGGTGAGGGAGAAATTAGGTTTTGCAATGATAAAACTTATATTGCTTGCGTGCATTGGAGGATGGAGCACATGTAGCACAAAGCAGCTTAACTGGAGTTAGTAGTACTTCCACTGAAGTGCTGTTAAGTGTGTGAAGAAAGTACAGCAGGACCTTGCCCTAACTCATGTGCTAACCTCTGTTTAAAATAAGTGTGATGATCTTGGATACTGCAGACGTAAAGGAAGAAAAAGCTTTAGACATAATACAGACAAGGACAACAACAATACAAAAAAAAAATATTCTATCACTGGAGCATTTTGCAAATTTGTTTCTGGCATTTTCTTCAAGCTCTCCCACCTCCATCACAATAAATCTACCATCCACCCCTACCTCCTGAAAGACTTCTCACAATACCCCCATTTCCCCCATGCCCTTACAGCCCATCATAACAAAACCATGTGGGTTTTGCCCTTCTCTTGTCTATCTCTGGTTTTCCAGCCGCTGGAGCCCCATGCACTCAATTGCTCGGGGCTGCTGCCGCTTGGCTTCTGCTTGGCTCAGAGGGAGTCAACCCAGAGCCAGGTAGGAGAGCTGATAGGCGATACTTATCTTAATAGACTTAATGGACTTACGCATCTCCCCTGACCCTGGAGGCACAGTTCATATTCACACAGCTAATCTCTGCTACCCTCCAATATAACCTGGTTTGCTCTGGAGTGGCTGCGGGGCATGATGGTGGCCAAGCTGCCTCCCAGAATTGTTAGGAGAGCGCAAGGTGGCGTGGGGCACAACCATGCCAGGGACCGTGCCAGAGATTTAGTAGGATATGAGGCCACGTGCCAGGGTCCGGGCCTGGGCTCTGGCACTGTTTATTTTAGCAGTGCAGACGTACTGTTAGGGCCGCTCTCCTCTCTTTTCACAATTTGCTTTAGAAAAGTAATATCCTCTGTCAAATGGGACTGATCCTCGCCAATGCGCTCAAAATTTATTGGCAAGGAACTTCAGGCGGTCAGCATGATCAAAGAGCCTTAATGCCTTAGAAAAATAAGCTAAAAATAAACAAAGTCAATGTATCATTTTCAATTAGGCCGTATACCACTTTCCAGCCAAGCTGGACAGTACTTGTTCCAGGAGAATTAACTGAAATACAGACTCTGTTATGTTGCAAAAACTACCTCTCATCAGACACGTCCTATCTCTCCAACTAACCGGAAAATCAGAAGTCAATTTATTCTTTTCCTAGTTGTGTCACAGCCAAAATCATGATAAGAGGAAAATCATGCTGGGAGAAAGAACAAGACCAACAATAACAAACTGATATATTCCTCGAGGCTTAGGGTGCAAAAGGCTTCACAGTTAGTAGAATACGATCAGTTCAATCTATCTTGTAACAATAAACAATGAGTCGCAGTTGTATAAAATGAGTTTGTTTTAAAGTGGACGTTCAAAGGCATATAATCTCCATTTGGTTTATGTTTTCACCATCTGTTTTTTATTCCTGACCTTGTGGCTGTCATAAATTATGTGAAATATTTGCTCTTGATATTCCAAAGAATCTGAGATTAGTGATGAACAAAGCCCAGAAAGTTCACGAATTGGTTTCCCTAGAATATCCCAGCTATTCGGATCAGCCTGGTGCTCAGTGGGTATGTTTCCACTGGCAAAGAAAAAACACTGGCGCCAGCAGCCTTCATGGCATCCTCAGGTGAAGCAAAAGAATTAGTAAGTGGTGAGGGAAAAATTATTCAAGTCAGGGTTGAAGCAATGTGGCTGGGAAATTACTGCTTTCCTTGCCTATGGTACACTAGTTGGGTGGACAAGACTTCCTCAATTCCGTACAGGAAAAACACTAAGAATGTCTCAAGGCAAAAATGGCTTACTTACCAAAAGGTTGAATTGTCAATGTTGCCTTTTGCAATATATTCTGAGCCAGAAGGTTTAATTATTTAGGATCTGATCAAAATCTTATTGACTTCTGATCAGAAAGCTAAAGAACCTAAAAGCATTAAAATAAAAAATTTTATTAATTTTTTTTTTTCTTTTTCAGAATAGCTTTTTATGTCACCACTGCTGCTGAGTTTGTATGCACATAAGTGCTTTGTCTAAAAGTTACAAAAAGATTTTATGGACTGATATATTAAATAAAGTTATTATTAGTTGTCAGAATGTTGCAGAAGTCACACTTTCAGCTTTTGTGTTTTTCCTCTTGTTTCAGGCTGTGGAACATTTACTTTTCTGTCTTCTGCTGTTGCTGCTGTAAGTGGACTTCTGATGGGTTATGAGTTGGGCCTTATCTCTGGAGCTCTTCTTCAGATGAGCAGCATATTAGCACTCTCTTGCAAAGAGCAGGAAATTGTTGTAAGTTCCCTGCTTTTTGGGGCCTTATTTGCATCCCTTACTGGTGGATTCCTGATAGACCGATTTGGAAGGAGACTTGCTATTATTATTGCATCATCTTTACTTGTGTTGGGGAGTCTGCTTTTACTGCCCTATGAATCCTATGGGATACTTATTGTGGGACGGATTGCCATAGGTATTTCCATATCGTTATCATCAATTGCAACGTGTGTGTATATCGCCGAGATCGCCCCACAGCACAGAAGAGGCCTCCTTGTGTCATTAAATGAACTCATGATTGTGATAGGCATTCTCTTTGCCTATATTTCAAATTATGCATTTGCCAGTGTATCTCATGGCTGGAAGTACATGTTTGGCCTTGTGATTCCATTAGGTGCCTTGCAGGCTATTGCCATGTATTTCCTTCCACCAAGTCCTCGGTTTCTTGTCATGAAAAATAAAGAGGAAGCTGCAAGAAAAGTACTGGAGAGGCTACGGGAAACATCAGATGCTACTAAAGAACTTACTATGATCAAGTCTTCCCTGAAAGATGAACATCAGTATAGTTTCTTGGACCTGTTTCGTTCAAAAAACAACATGAGGGCCCGAATGTTGGTAGGACTCACTCTAGTCTTTTTTGTGCAAACAACTGGGCAACCCAACATTTTATTTTACGCATCAACTGTTTTGAAGTCAGTTGGGTTCCAGAGCAATGAAGCTGCCAGCTTGGCTTCTACTGGAGTTGGAGTGGTTAAAGTGGTCAGCACAGTCCCAGCCACGGTTTTTGTGGATCAAGTTGGAAGTAAAACTTTTCTGTGTATAGGGTCTTCTGTTATGGCAGTATCGTTGGTCACTATGGGCTTAGTGAACCGTAACATACATGTGAATTTCACCAGTGTCTGTAGAAGCCAGTCTCCAGAGGATTTCTTTCTTCAGAGACCAGGAAACCTCACTGATGTCACCAATGGGAGTCTCAAGGACCTCTTTGCTAGCATGGCTTTACCAGAAAGGCTGTCATTTGACACACAGAGAAGTCCAGCCTTTGCCAGGACAGGAGAACTGAACAGGACTGCCCTGGCTGGAGGCAAAAGCACAACAGGGTCTCACATGGAAAGTGGGGAGGTTCCTGTTGTCCTGAAATGGTTCTCACTGGCCAGCCTGCTTGTTTATGTTGCTGCATTTTCTATAGGTCTTGGACCAAGTAAGTATTTGATTTTTCTAACTCTTTGTAATGATTTCTTTACAACCGGATTAAGTGTTGGGATGACATGCCCAGCTTGGCATCAGGCAGTTCCCAAGCTGGGCAAAACAGTGTTTTCTGATAATATGTGCTGGTTTTGTCACAAGCTGTCCTGGTGGGCCTGGGGTGTACTTTTTAGGAATAGGTCCTTCCCATTGAGGACAATGGCCTAATCTCCCTTCAATTCAGTGAAATTAACTGTTCCCCTTCAGTGAAGGTAAGAACTGGTGTGAGCTTTGTACAGCAAAAATATGGGGCCCCTGGCTACCTTTCCTCTTCCTAGTCTATTGTGACCTCACATTGGGACCGTTAAGGTGAGGCATTTGCTGCTGCTAACTCATAAACCCAAGATAATGACGAGTCTAGACCTCTGTATGATATGGCTCCGTCAAATCCATGAAATGCCAACATGCCTGAGACCAGCTGAGGATCTGGCCGCTTGACTATATAGCAATCTTCAGATACAGGAAAGAAATTCAAGGCATCATAGTTCATTAGTAACCTGTAGTATCATCTCCACCACCTGTGCTGAACAGCGCAAGTGGAAGAACACAAAGGAGCATCCCTGTACAACTGAGGTACTGCTACAGCTACCATCACACTTGCAGGGTTCCCACTCTCTTCAGAGGAGAACATGTCCCAGCCACTAGCAATTAAATCTCTTCATTTTGTTGGGGATTTTTTTGTTTGTTTGTCTTGTTTCAATAGCACTTGCATATTATTGTTCTTTGAAGGTGTTGATTTTTTTTAAGCCATATTGCAAAAACCACATGCATAGAGTCCATTATTTATTAACAGACTTTATGTGCTTTTGTGCCCTGGCTCAAACTTGCCTTGCAAACACACTGTACTCCTGAGGCACTATTATGATAAAAAGCTTGCCACAAGAATACAACCCAACAATTGCACTAACAGCAACACCCCTGCAGTATTTATTTATTTTAAACATTACTCACTGGGAGAGCAGCGTGAGATAAGCATTCATTGCCAGGGCAGCGAGCTTGACTGTGTTATTGCAGTATTATTCCCTCTCTTGCAGACCATCTTGAGGCTGGATTCTGCTTTCTGTGACAGAGGTTCATAAGCAGGGGTGCAGCCCTGAAAAGAAAATGTTACTTGAGCTCTTACTTGGGTGTTTCAAACACACATTTAATGACCCTCAAGGCAGGGGCACTCGTTCAGGTTTGGCCTCCTGTTGAAAGCTGCTTTCCTGTTGACCTGGCTCTAAGTGGGTTCCTGGTCATTTGAGTTGGCCTGATGTGATGTTAATGTTAATGACCTCGACTTCCTTGAGGGCTACAGAAACTGAGATGTGTTTGCCAGGCTAATCTGAGAAGTCTTTGAGGCCCCCTGCTTGTTTTCTCATCCCTTTCTTGACTAAGAGCAAAATGCTCTCAAACAGCAAATGGGAAACAACAGGCACCATCTTAGCTCCAGCATGTTGAAATCACGTATGATAAAGCAATTTAAACTGGCAGACGCCTTTGTGCAGCAAGTGAAGGCCAGGTCCAGGAGAGATACAGGTATTTCAAAATGCGGATAAGTACTTTCAAAACACTTCCCTGCCTTTAAAAATACAATGTTAAAATTGACAATATATAGAAAATGCAAGGGTCAGAGAACCAAGAGATTATTGGAATCTTCAGAGGATCTATTACGTTTAAATAGTCTGGGTTGGGACACGAGGTTATGATTTATGTCTCATACGCAGCCTTCAACATCTGCTGTTTGGAGTCCAAATCTCTGAATGTATTTTAAAAGCCTAGCTTTCTTATCCTCAGTGTGCCTTTCTTAGCATGAAGAAAAAAAAAAAAAAGAGCCCCTCTGCTAATATAAAGTAAACAGTTTTAACATGTTTATGTTATGCCTCTCTAAATCTGGTCTGTGGCCTCGACCAGACCATTAGCCATCGTCTACAATGCAATGGGAGGGAGGCATCCAGGCTGCACACTGGGCTGCTGCAGCCAGGCAATGCCCGGGAGCCTGGGGACAGAAGCACTGTAACCCCCACACCACTGTATTTTCAGTGCAAATTTCATACTCTGCACAATGTCTGCCCATCCTGCTGGCTAAGGTGGAAGCAGCACCGGGCATGTGTCTGTTTGTAACCTACAGATCAAATCAGCCTCTTTTGAACAAAGAAGATTTTGCTCTTTTCCCTTCGCCCCACAAGGCCATTTCTGGAACAAATTCACCCGCTTTATTTTGAGTCCATGCTACATTATGTTCTGTGGGGATAAAGGAGTCTATAAGCACCATTAGGAAAACGGCACACTCTTCTTAGGGCAGACCACGCAGCCTGAGCTCTATCATCTTTTTTTTGATTACTTTGTCTTTTTTTTTCCCCCCTTCCTTTTTTTGGGGATTCTGGTGTCCATGCTGCATTATGTTCTGTGGGGATAAAGGAGAGTCTATGAGCACCATTAGGAAAACGGCACACTCTTCTTAGGGCAGACCACGCAGCCTGAGCTCTATCATCTTTTTTTTGATTACTTTGTCTTTTTTTTTCCCCCCTTCCTTTTTTTGGGGATTCTGGTCAAAGAGCTAGTTACAGTCCAGATTTGCACAGCAGATATTTATAAATGTTGTATTTTTGCATGATTTCTCTTTTGTCTCCAAATTACATGAAGTAGATGGATTTTTTAATGAACTAAACATATGCTAAATATATTTATTGCCCTTTATCAAAGCACCCAGGCAGCACAGTGATGAACACTCAAAAATAGACAGTGAGAGATAAAAGCCATTTTTGCATTATAAAAGAATTCAGACTAGCAAGCATCTGCTTAGTCACTTTTTTGATTCTGGGGTGCTCTGTATTTATATCATCAACCCTTAGGCAAGATAAAAGGAGTATTTCTGCTGCTCTGTTTGGATTAATTACGTTTGATGAACTTGATTCAACTGCTTGTTCACACTCAATTTCACACAATTATGAGGATGTTTTGTAGGTGCAACAAATCAGTGTTGCATCACATCGCAGAACAGCACATGCCGTCTCTCCAGGGATATTTGCAGAGGCATTTCAAGGCAGTTATTAGCTAAGGGGACTTACTCGACACCCATCGTTGTCTTGAGCTACCTTTGTCTGCGTATCAGAAAGGTCAAACGAGGATGAACCGTTCTCATCAGGGAAACATGCCTGCAGAGCCCATGAGAAACGTCTCTCTGGCTGCCATGTGAAGGGCGAGGGGTGCGAGAGGGACTCTTCATTGTTTTCAGTGCATGTTTGCAAGGAGAGGCATTCAGGCCTGCTGTATGTGGAGAAGTGGACAGGAGAAATCAGAGCCTCACAGAAATGTTGCTATGCCTTGCACAGGGAGCAGTGAGTGCAGGCTAATGAGATGAGTGCGGTGTGGAGGCAGATCACCAGTTCGTCACCCAAGCTCAATGTAACCCTGGAAATTAATTGAACACAAAGGACACACAGAGAAATTCTAGTCAGGGCCACGACCATGCATGACCACTTACTAAATTGCACAGGATTAACTGAAATAGTTGCAGAACATCTCATTTGCCAGATGCTCTGTTCAAACTACTTGAGGGGCAAAAAATAGTGGTCCTTTCTTATAAAGAGGTGTCACCTCCTTCAGTCATCACTGTTGTGTGGTAAAACATTTTGAGATGCAGGAATAAGGAAAGCCAAACTCCTGGAGTATCACACTTATTTTCCAAAATAAGGCTGTAAACATGGGACTCTTGGGACTGGATGGAGCACATGCAAGGGACTTCTTTTGGTTAACAACTGTAGGCAGCTCTAGCATTTCTGAAGCAGAGTAGGTGCCCAGAGTCCTGGTGCTTTCCTCACAGACCCCACGAACAAAATTCAGGTTTAGGTGTCAGGTGGCTGCCGTTACCAAAGAACTGCTTCTCTGCCCTGATCATCTCCTTTTCCACCATTTAAGACCAAAGACTAAATAGAGACAACTTCCCTCCATATTTTCCTATATATCCCCTGAGTGAGGAGATCTCACTGGGTGATCTCACCAACAAGTCAACAAGAAAGAGCAACAGTAGCACCATACACGTTAATACGGGGATGCTATGTGGTCTGGAGGCAATCCTCTCTAAGGAGCAAAAAACAGAGGAGCTCCAACAAGTCCTAAGCTGAGAAGCAAGTGATGCAAACTCAGTGTGGACCCAACAGGGCATATTTTCACAGTCTGAATTTGTTCTAGGAAATAAAAAGCAAGCGAGCAAACAGGCCTTGGGCAGTACCTCTTTACACATATTGTGGGAGTGCAATTCAATGGGATCCATGCACATCACAAGGTTTTTTTTTTGCTGTGGAGTAGGGAACACTTTTATTGAAAGGGAGATGTCAAATATGTGCATTTAGACTGCATGTATGGCATTGGTGCCTTGCACAAAAGAGTTCTTACCCCTCTGTCAGTCCTTAAAACAAGTTTCTGTTCTGCAAAGGTGTTTAAGCAGTTGGACAATGAACTTTGGGATAATCTGCTGGTGCAAATAACACCAGTACCACCACCATCATCACAGTTCATGCTGATGGTGTGGATGCAAATCAACAAAAGCACCTACAAGTGAGAGACTGAGGGGCAGTTTCGTGAGATGAATCATCCTCAAAATCACTTAGATGCATAAAGTTGGAAAGTATTTATTTCTCTGCCAACTGGGGACTGAAGATGTTCTGTTACTGTGTGTCCTAGAGCAGCTGCCAGCTTTGTGTGGCTCTCCAAAGCCAAGAGCCAAACTTTCAGAGCTCTTCTCTTGGAGGCCATTACAGGCCCCTCTTCCAGGCGACTTCTTGGAGCTGCAGGGGTGCCCTGGCCCCAAGTGCTCAGAACCCACCTGGCACACACACAGCTGCGGCCACAACACACCCAAGGCAGATCAGTGTCTGCAGCTGGAGAAATGTCTTCTGAGTTTCAGGGCTCGGACAAAAAATACCACATATACCGATCCACATAGATATAAAATCTAAAAAATATTTTGTACATATTTGTGGTCAACAAATAAGTGCATAA